GAGTACATCCGGGGGCTGCACTGGGTGCTGCAGTACTACTACAGGTGACCAAGGGGGGGGGATGACGCCGGGTGATGCTGGGGTGACAGGTGCTGGGTGAGGGGGGGGGGCGCGGGCGAGCCTGGCGGGATCATTGTGGCTGCAAGCGGGGGCTGGGTACAGGAGGCGGTGGCGAAAGCATGCTTCCGCAATGGCCGGCGCAGCAGCCTCTAACAGGCGCGGCTGGCAAGCACTCCTGCTTGTGTTCACCCCCATTGAATGGCCTCCTCAGCAAACACACGCGTACTTCATCTGCATTTCTCTCATGTTTCCTCCGAGCGTGCTTACGTGCGTGCGTGCGTGCGCGCGCGCGCACGCGCACACACACACACAAACACACAATTGCACTCACTCACGCATCACCAGGGGTGTTGCGTCGTGGGACTGGTTCTACCCCTACCACTACGCCCCCATGGCCTCAGAGCTCAGGGACCTCAACGACATCAGGGGTGAGGGGGAGGGGTGTCCAGGGGTTGAAAAGGAGGGGGGACGACTGAATGTGTGTGTGGGTGGGGGAGGAGGGTGGGGGGGTGGTGGACTGGCACGGGAATGGGGACGGCCACACGAGCATGCGAGGATGCCAGGGCAGTCGTCACGGGGCGGTGATGTTCAGGGGATGATTCCTCAATTGGCAAGGGGTGGCGCTCAGCATGGCGCACAAATGTAGCTCAAACGCCGCGCCAGTGGGAGCCGGATCTCGTCCACCCTCGCCTCAAGCCCCCCTCGCCATCCGCGCCCCCCGTCACCCCGCCAGTGTCGTTCACCCCCGGCAAGCCGTTCTACCCCTACGAGCAGCTGCTGGCCGTGCAGCCCGCGTCCTCCTGCACGCTGCTGCCGGAGCCCTACCAGTATCTGATGACGTCACCCACGGTGGGGGGCGGGTGGGGGGAAGGAGGGGAGGAGACGAGAGCGACACGATGTGAGGGCTGGCGTGGTCTCGCTAGCACAGATCAAATGCTGTGCGGCAGCGGTTCGTCTTGTCGTTGGCTGCCGCCGCGGCCGCCATGGTTTTGATGGGCGGCGACGCATGCCCGTGGACGCCCGCGATGCGAACCTCGGCCCTAAACCCTAAACCCTAAACCCCAACCGTCCGCCGTCCCGCGCCGCAGAGCCCCATCCGCGACTTCTACCCTGTGAAGTTTGACATTGACATGGAGGGCAAGAGGGCGGAGTGGGAGGGCATCGTGAAGATCCCCTTCATCAGCGAGGACAGGCTGCTGGCCGCGGCGCGCAGCGTGAAGCAGGAGGCGTGAGCGGCCAGGCCGGGCGGTCCCGGGCTGCGATTTCGAGCGAGGGTCGGGGCGTCAGGGGCGGGGCTGCCCGCGGGCTCCTTGCAAGGAGCGGCTTGGCCTGCAACACGCGTGCTTGGCAGAGCTGAGCACATCCAGATTGCCCCTGCGCTCCCACCACCGCCTTGAAGGCGGCACCTTCTCACATCGTACCCGTGGGCAGGCCAGTTCCCCTCAACACCTCCAGAGCCTCACCCCTGACGTCACATATCATGCACCTCCCCGGCCCTTGCTTGCACCCCCCAAACAATCGTCTCAACCTCACCACCCACCTGACCAAACGCCTGCCCCTCCCCCCCTTCCTTGTCGGTCAACGTCCCGTCCGCCCTGCCGCGCCCGCCGCACCCAGGCTGACGAGCGAGGAGCGGCGACGCAACGCCCACGGGGATGTGCTGGTGTTCCAGCACGTGGCGGGGCGCCACGAGGCGGAGCACTGCGAGAGCACGCTGCCCAGGTGGGGAGTGCCGCTGCGTGCGTGTCCACGCATGTCCGTCTCATCCAAGGAGGGCTGTCAGGAGCCTGTGGCAGGGCTTCTGTTTGTCAGCTGGCCACCGCAGGCGGCGAGTGGTTTTCGGCGCCTCTCGAGCACACATCAACTTCTTGAGGCCGTGCCGGGCTATGCTCCCAACTCCGGTATTGCACTTTTGCAACAACCCCTGCCCTTTGCCTCATCCCAACAGGTGGGGCGCCACGGTCCACCACGCGCACAGCAGCTGCCGCCACGTGCCCCCGCCGCCGCCGCTGCCGCCGGCGCAGCTGGGCTTCCGGCCCGCGCTGGTCAAAGGCACGCTGACCGGCAAGAAGAACCCACCGGGCTTCCCCACCCTCAAGACAATGAAGGTGCAAGCGCACGCGCAAGCTCTGGCACATGCGTGGCTGATTTTGCCGCGAAACGAGGGGCAGTAGGTCAACACCCTTTGCAGGATATCAGAGTCTTCAAACGTGTGTCCTGTGGCATCGTCGGGCACAGCTTATGCAGCTTGCGCGGCAGGGGCCGCCCGGCTGACCTCATTTTGTAAGCATGAGTGGTGGTTGCGTGCAGTCCCCCAATGCGCACCGCCACCAATCGGCCCTGCAACGCGCCCCCGCACCCCTCCCAGCTGGTGGGTGCGGAGCTCAAGATGGCGGGCGTCACCGTGTTTGGCAACCCCTCCAAGAAGGAGAGCCTCATCCTCACGCTGCCAGACATTCACCAGGTGCGAGTGCTACTGCTCAACAAGCCTCCCAGCCACTCCCCACCAACATCCTCTGCGGCCCTGGTGCAAGTCACCTCGAATGCACGCTGCGCCCGGCGCCGCCGCCGCCCTCCTCACGCGGCCCCAGCACCTGCAGCCGCCGCCATACCGGCCCCGTCGGTCTGTTGCTCATGGCTCCCCGGCCACCCACAATCACGTCCACAAACTCTCCCACTCACCCCGCACCCGTCTTCCCCGCTTGAATTGGCGGCCGCGCCTGCGCGGCCGCAGGTCCTGGGTGAGTCCACTGACGCGAGCGCGGTGTCGTCGATGATAGGGGAGCGCGTTTACGTGAAGTGGCCCTACCTGCAGGAGGCGCAGGTGGGGGCAGGGGTAGTGCTGGATACGGCTTCTTGTGTTTTGTGTAGGTGGATGACAGAGAGAGGAAGAGGGAGACAGAGAGACAAAGGGAGGGAGGGAGGGAGGGGGAGGAAGAGAGAGAGAATGTGTGTGTGTGTGTGTGTGTGTGTGTGTGTGTGTGTGTGTGTGTATCTGTGGGTGTGTATATGTGGGTGTGTATATTTGGGTGTACAGCTTGTTGTTGGTCGGGGATGAAAGTCGAGGGGGTCTGTCGCAACTGTGATTGGGAGGTTTTGGCGGTCGTTTGCTGTGTATGGGCCTGCGGTGCATGCGTGCGGTGGTGTTTGTGGTGCTGGTGCAGTCATCTTGAGTACGGTTGGGCAGCTGCGGCATGCCCTGCACAAGCCTCCCACCTCACTGCCTCCCTTGCTCTTCTCCCCTTTGCCAGATTGTGCGGGTGTCTGACAAGTCGCAGGACCTGTCGGCCACGGGCGCGCGCCAGATGCCCAAGGAGGAGGCCGACAACTGGTGAGTGTGTGTGTGTGTGTGTGTGTGTGCTTGCGCGCACGGGCGCGCGCGTGCGCGCACGGACACGTGTGCATTCGTGTGGTGTATGCATGCGGTGTGACAGCCTGTCGTGTCGGGGCTGGTGCGTTAGATACATGATTATGTCTTGAGTGGCCTATGGAGGGGGGCTGCAATGCAAGCGTGGGCAAGCACAGCCAACGTGGTGCATGGGCCGATTGGGATTGGAGCGCGGGTGGAAGGGCTGATCGTGGGTTGGGTGAGAAGAAAGCAGCTGGGGATGTGACGGAGGCGGGCCTCAGCCGCACGCCGCCCGCCATCCCCGCGAGAACGCATGTCGCGTTGCCGCCCGCTTTGTTGCAATGAGATTGTCCCCGCCTGCAGCGCTGATCACACACGCGTCGCTGCACGCGCCGCGGCGCCGCCGTGCGGCTCCTGGCTGCACCACATGTCTGCGCTCAGCCGGGAGCCCGCCGGGCGGCCCCCACCCCCTACCCCATGGGCCGCGCACCCACACCTGCGGGCCCTTGATAGGCGGACGACGCACAAAGCTCCCTCCGCTCCTCGCACCCATTGCGGACGATCGGTTCTTCCCCAACCTCACTCTGCAGTCTCTCATGGCCTTCATCCTGAACCGCATTGAGCCTTGTCAAATTCAACCCATATCTCATAATCCCCCACTCCCTCCCTCCAACCCCCAGGGCCAATCTGTCGTCCCGCACCCGCAACGTGTTCCTGACCAAGCAGGGCGTGGAGACGGGGCCGCTGCCCGTCATGCTGCACGTCAAGGCCTGCACGGGGTGCGCGCAGCGCGAGGCAGCGCAGCACCACGCCCCGCAGCACAGCGCAGCGCGCAGCGCAGCCCGCGCCCCTCCGCCCTCCGGCCTCCCCACGCGGCCGGGCCCCGGGCCTTGACTGCCTCCTTGGGGGCGCGGGGGGCGTGTCATCCGCGTAAGGGATGACGCCCAAGCTCCAAGCTTTGCCGCTTGCCGCCCTCAATTTTCCGGCTCTGCAGCCCCTGGCTCGCCACCTGCCTCAGCCGGACCCCTCTCCGTCCGGCACCCTGTTCCCCCCTCTCACGCTCGTCCCTCCCCCTCACCCCGCGGCACGCGCCGCGCCGCGCCGCACTCTCACGTGCGCTCCCAGGTACGTGCGCCACGCGGATGGCAGCGTGGTGAAGCGCTACAAGGACGAGGAGGCGCCCTACCCCCTGCAGGCGCGCACGCCTCCACGGCCCCACCCGCTGGCTGCCCCCGGGGCCGCCGGCGCCGCCTTTCTGGCGCGGCGGCGTGGCGTGCCTGGGGGTGGCGGGTGTCGCATCGGGAGCGTGCTGGCCTCGCTCGCCCTCGGGCGTCCCCGCCCCCTGCTCTCTCCCGCCACTGCCGTCACCCTCTCGACACGCCAACGCGCGGCCCGCCCCACGCCCTCTCCACTTCGCCCTCCCCCTCGCGCGCGCAGGCCGTCCTGCGCCAGCGTCCGCGCCCGCCGGCGGGCTTCCACGACCCCGATGAGCCGCGGCCCATAGACCTGCAGGTGTGCTTGTCTCATTTTTGGCAGAGCAAGACGCGCACTGTGTGCTTTCTTTCGCCTCTCGAAGGCCTTGGCCCCCCCCCAAGCCGGCCGCTTGCATAGGCAGCCCCTGTGCAAGCAGGGCTCGTTGCTGCGCTCCTCTTGCCGCCTGACCTGTCAGCAGGCCTGGCCCTGTGCGCCCCCCTGAATTCAACCCCACACTTGCTTCAAACGCACTTGTCCCCCCCCCCTGTACACACGCACACCGTCACTCACCCGTTCCCCTCTGACCCTCACACGCACACACTCCCTCTCGCACATGCAAACCCACACACCCACACACCCACGCCCGCGCACACGCACACACACACACACACACACACACCACATACACACACACACACACACATTGCCCGTCACCCCAGGAGGGCGTGCGCGTGCTCTTCCTGGGCCAGGAGCACTACGGCTGCGTCGCCACGCTCCTGCCAGACCCCGGCCGCGGCGTCGACGCCCACGGCCGCCGCCTTCTCGGCCTCTCCGCCGGCGGCGCCCCCGGCGCGCGCGCGTGCGTGCGGGTCGCGCCGGCGCGGCACGACGCGGCGGGGGCCGCGAAGCGGGGGCGGCAGGTCGTGCGGGAGTACCCCATTCAGTACATGCCGAGCGGCGTCGCCGCCAGGTGCGTTTTTGGGCATAAGGTCGCCGCGGCACAGATGCTGCTTTGGGCAGCAGAGCGCTTGCGTGGAAGCTGCGTTTGCGGGCTTGGGGATTTTGGGGCCCTGCTGTCAAACCTGCGCTGGGTGGTCAGTTTCCCCTCAGGCGTCACACCCTGCTACTAATAGTGGATGGAGAGGATGGGGATCGTTGCCGACAGTCCTGGTTCGCTGCACCTCCCCCGCCGTGTGCAGGGCGCTGCGCGTCAACCCGCGCCTGCTGGGTCGCGTGACGGGCAACGTGTGGGTGGGCGACGGCGACAACCGCGTCGACGTGGGGCTGGCCGTCAAGAACGCAAAGCAGGGGCTCTGCGTGCCGGGTGCGCGCGCGCGCGCGCGCGCGAGTCCAGGCGTCTGTGCGCATGTCCACGGGCGCTCGCGTGCCTGCTTATCCAAGGTCAGGGGCTTGTTATGTGGGAAGGCTTTCAATGCTGGCCCCTTGCTCATGCGTCCCAGCCGCCCGAAGCGCGCTGGCGCGGCGCCGCACGCCCGACTCTTGCCAGAAGCCGCCCGGCTCACTCACCTGCGCTCTCAACACCGCCCACAAAACATACTTGGCCCCTCCGCAGAACCCCTTGCCGAGCTCGTCCATTGGCTCCGGCCGACGCCCTATCCACCCATCCACTCCTCGCCCCATGCACCCACGTACCCCCTGCCTCCAGGCCTGGCGGCCCCCCTGCATGATGACTCTGGCTGGGCCTACAGCCAGCCGCTGCTGGACCTGGTGGCGGAGTACAGGCGCCGCTTCCCCTGGGTGCTGTCCACGCTGGAGAGCAGCTGTGAGGACGGAGCGCCACCTGCGTTTTTTTGGGGGGGGGATTCCAGAGTAGTTGTTTGCAGGCAGAGGGCGGGGATCACAGGAACTCGTTAGCGCGGGGACGGCTGGGGTGGGTTGTGTGGGAGGGGGGGGCAGGGAGAGAGGGCCAGCGCCGCCCCTGATTGGGGCCCCTACTTCTCCGCACGTTGCGCGCGTGCCTGGCACTGGCGGAAGGAGTGGTCCCGCTCATTCCGCCCTCGCATCACCCCCCCCCCCCCCCCCCCC